GTTGGATATCTGCATTGCAAAATTCAAAGAAGTACACATGTGAAGGATAGCTGCATTTCTGTCTTGGGAAGCCTGAATTAGGTGGGTTCACACGGTCCCTTAGCATGAATGAATGTGCGCTGGCCCTAAATTGTCATTGTAAGATAACTCTAATAATCTGTCGTTCAAGAATCAGCACTCTTGTGATGTTTTGCTATAACTTGCAGGTGTCTCTGACCATGATCCTAAATCTTGACCATTGATTTCAGGGGAGCTCTGCAATCACAAATGCATTTGGATTTGCAGACTTCAGTTCATTTCTGTAATCCTATTGCCCACGAGCAAATCACTCAGAAAGATTTTCTATGGATTTTGTTAGTTCTGCTTTGCCTCCAGTATACTGTATAAATATTGGTAGCAAATTGCTTTGCTTTGAAGCTGCTGTTTAGTCTGAATATCTCCTCCATTTACTTCCTTTTTTTAAAACATAGTGTAGTTACCAAAAGGTGAGTTATATTCACCTTGAGATCTTCCCCAGTCATACAATTCTTTATCTTAAGAAGAAAGGGAAGAAGTCCGCCGTCTCTCAGTAAAGAAAGCAAGGGGCGAGCGAAGCAGAATTGCAATATGTTTACAGTCTCCTTGTTAGAATGCAAACATCCAAAGCATAGTTTTACCTTAGGACAATTTTATAAGGCTACACTAAACAAAATCAATAATTAATTGGTAAATTACACACTGTGAGTAAAAGCTCCTTACATTTTAAAAATTGGTTTTCAAAGTAATGAAAGCCTAGAAGATTTTTTTTCCTGCAGTATATGCAGTATTGTATTGAAGAGGATTGGAGAACAGATGGCATACAGTTTTCTTTTGAAAAAATAAAACTTCGCGTGCAAATGACGCAAAGGGTTTGAACTTTTAACAGCGTACACAGCAAATTCAAAAAGTTCTTGAGAACTTCTATCAGACATTGTTTACTTTGGAGACCATTGTGTGGGACTTCCCTTGAGGCGGGGCCAGACACTGCATCTACTGGTGGCTCAACTGCTCACTAGGTCAGGATAGCACCAGACTCCCCAAGTGTCCCTATTTTCCAGGGACAGTCCTGGATTTACAGAAGGCATCCTGGTGTCAGCCTGACCCATTCAGTGAAGAGGAGGCCAGTATAGATTTACAACAGTGGTTTGTGGGAGATCATAGCTCAGAGGCAGATGAGGGGGGAAGCTGGGAAATAGTGGGAGAGGAGCAGGAAGAAGAAGAAGCACCGGGAGAAAGACAGCTGGCAGACACAGTGTCTTTAGAAAGCATTCTAGACCCCTCCATTCTCACTGAACCCGGCAGACATTGAAAGTAAGAGAGCAGAGAACGCAGAGGCAGAATAATAATAATAATAATAATAATAAATTTTATTTATATCCCGCCCTCCCCAGCCGAAGCCGGGCTCAGGGCGGCTAACAACAATAAAACAGTACAAAAGTACAGCATAAACAACACTCTAAAATCATTCATTATAAAATTAATTAATTCAAGCCACTGGCAACCATTGGGCCAGAGCTCCGCGAAGATTGCCGAGGGAGGGAGTCAGGCTGTGCCCTGGCCAAAGGCCTGGTGGAACAGCTCTGTCTTGCAGGCCCTGCGGAAAGATGTCAAGTCCCGCAGGGCCCTGGTCTCTTGTGACAGAGTATTCCACCAGATTGGAGCCACAGCCGAAAAAGCCCTGGCTCCAGTTGAGGCCAGCCTAACTTCTCTGTGGCCTGGGACCTTCAAGATGTTTTTATTTGAAGACCGTAAGTTTCTCTGTGGGGCATACCAGGAGAGGCGGTCCTGTAGGTACGAAGGTCCTAGGCCGTATAGGGCTTTAAAGGTTAAAACCAGCACCTTAAACCTGATCCTGTACTCCACCGGGAGCCAGTGCAGCTGGTATAGCACCGGGTGAATGTGATCTCGCAGCGAAGACCTCGTAAGGAGTCTCGCTGCAGCATTCTGCACCCGCTGGAGTTTCTGGGTCAGCAAGGGCAGCCCCATGTAGAGCGAGTTACAATAATCCAGTCTGGAGGTGACCGTCGCGTGGATCACAGTGGCTAGGTGGCACAGTGCCACTGTCGAAATAAACTGCACTGGCTGCCAATCAGCTACCAGAATAAGTTCATGGTGCTGTTTTTGGAGTAGAAATCCCCATACAACTTGGTTCATCTCACGTCTTATATAGCAAATCAATCACTGCACTCTGCAGATGTGGGCCTCCTGTAGATACCATCTTCTCAGGAAGTTCACGCCACACAATATTGGAATTGGGTCTTAAGTGTTGTGGCACCCTCCCTTTGGAATTCCATTCTGTTAACTCTTATACACGTGTCAACTCTTGTCTTTTTGGTGTCTACTGAAGTCCTTCACCTTTCAACAAACCTTTTAAAGTAGAGAACTTTTCCATTCTGCATCTGTACTGGAGTTCCTTTCCATATTTTTTGTATCACTTGTGTTTGTTGACCTGGGCTCCTCTGGGGGGGAAGGTGGGATACTGATGATAATAATAACAAAAATAGTAACAGACACCATTAACACATGGTCACCATTCTCATCTTTAAAATATATGAGGTCATTTCCGACACAGCAGAAAACAATTTTCCTACTACTGTATGTGTGGTATTGGCAAAATCTTGAACTCACCCATGCCCCTTTCCTCATGTTTCTTGTACACTAAAGAAGATCTACAGCTTCCACTTTTGATGTTAACTTAACCACAGTTCCCACTGCATCCAAACTGAGGGAACTCTGGTTAGTTTAAAATCTCAGTGCAGTGGTACCTTGGGTTACAGACACTTCAGGTTACAGACTGCGCTAACCCAGAAATAGTTCCTCGGGTTAAGAACTTTGCTTCAGGATGAGAACAGAAATGGCATCGCGGCGGCGCAGTGGCAGTGGGAGGCCCCATTAGCTAAAGTGGTACCACAGGTTAAGAACAGTTTCAGGTTAAGAACGGACCTCCAGAACGAATTAAGTTCTTAACCCGAGGTAGCACTGTAGTTCAAAATACCATACCCTCCAACTTTTCTCAGGTGAAAATAGGGACATTTTCATAATGATAATTTTACTATTTATACCCCACACATCTTACTCAGTTGCCCCAGCAACTCTGGGCAGCTTACATCATATATAAAAACATAATCGAATATAAACATTTAAAAAAGCTTTCAGCTATAATGACGGCTCGGGGGGTCAGATAACTCCATACTCCATTGGGCTGGATCCGGCCCCCGGGCCTTAGTTTGCCTACTCCATACCCTCCAACATTTCTCCAATGAAAATAGGAATGTCCTAAGGAAAAGTGGGACATTCTGGGATCAAATCAGAAACTGGGACAGCTTCTCTAAATCAGGGACTCCCCTGGAAAATAGGGACACTTGGAGGGTCGGAAATACCCAGGACTTTGCAAAGCACAGTTTGACCCTGGCTTCTTTGAACTAACTGTGGGGGTCAGCAAACTTTTTCAGCAGGGGGCCAGTCCACTGTCCCTCAGACCTTGTGGGGGGCTGGACTATATTTTGAAGGGGGGAAATTGAACAAATTCCTATGCCCCACAAATAACCCAGAGATGCATTTTAAATAAAAGCACACATTCGACTCATGTAAAAACACGCTGGTTCCTGGACCATTCGCGGGCCGGATTTAGAAGGTGATTGGGCTGGATCCAGCCCCCGGGCCTTAGTTTGCCTACCCATGAACTAGAGTTTAAATGAAGCACAAGATTTCTCCACATTTAGGAACTTTTTAAAAAATAAAAAAGTGAAAGCTTTTGATCTGCTCAGGTATACAAAAGTGGAGGGAAGAAAAGGAAATGGAGAGGACTGTGTGAGCCCAAGGCTTGCTATGGTTCATGTATGGTTCACTAAGCAGGGCTTTCCTAAAACATGCAGATCCATTTTCTTACCATCTTCAGGCCCAACAACTAAAAGACATTACATAGGTCAATTTTAATGTGGTATTCTGTGTTTTCTTTTTCTTAATTACTATTACGCTTTGTAAAGGGTGGAATAGAGATAGAAAGAAAACTTTTAATTCATATTCATCCCTGAAGTTCAAATTCCAGTACAATGCTATTGGAGTACAACATTATCGGCAAACACACATAATCCTCTTTCTTCGCTGGAGAGTGGGAGATGTTCTTGGACCTCATGCAGGAATCACCCATTGTTGAAATGAATTGGCCCTGTCTCAAAATACAATGCCCAAAGTTAACTCCGCACTATTTGAATGTTTCTTCAAAATGCCCTTGTGCTATTTTTTTTTATTGCTTTCTTTTTGCAAAATAGCAGAACAGGATTAGGTTCAGTATTATCATATCTGTAATATTTATTTGAAATTTTTATAACGTGGCCAATTATGAGCTGCCTAAGGGTGTTCAGCAAATGCTTCATCAACCCCTCTGAAGCTGGGCCAATTAAGCATGAATGAGTCAAAACTGGACTGGTTATTTTGCTAGTCTCTGTAGCTTCTCAGTGGGCCTCTGAGACGAAAAGCAATGATCAGACAGTAGGTGGTAGCCTTAATAGCGGCAAGACAAGTAAACAAACAAACAAGCGGAGCCTACAGCCTAGTCTATCATTTTTTATATTTTGGCACCTAACTCTACTCTCCCCTCCAGAACCATAACAAATGGTGTGAGGATTGGGGGTGGAGGAGCGAAATAAACAGTGGTAGAGCTTTACAAATAAGAGGCATATACGAAAAAAACAGTCAGTAAAAGGCAGAGCAGCTCCTCAGTGGACCTGCCTTAGATTAACTTGAATAAAAAACATGTAAACTATGGAGAAAAAAATAAGAAAATGTTTCTCCAAACTTCCTACCATTGGGGG